TGACTGGCTTACAAGGTTTCAAGAGGGAATTTAGTTTAAGAGTATGGGGGGAAAGAAAAAGCCCCCACTGAATAGATGTCATCTTGTCTAGGTAGGTCTAGTGAAAAGAGATGGAGATAAGATTTGTAAGATTCAGTAGTGAATAATTGTTATCATGACTAATTGCGACTGTCACAATTATAAAGGTAGAAATTTTGTAACAAAAAAAGGGGAGTGGTTAATCTTATAGTCCAGAAACAGAGGACCTCAGGACCATCAAGAGAGGAACGCACAAGCAGAATGCAGGACCTTATCCAGAGAAGCAACAGTGCCAGAGAGATGGAGGCAGAGATGGGGGCATGGCTGAGGACTCTAGATTCATGGATTTAGACGGATTAAGAGCTGGTGGCCAGGAGCAGACTTGCAGAATGTGCCCGTTGGAGATGTAAATTATTATATATGCCTGAATGGTTTTTTGTTTTGTTTTTTAAAAAGCTAAAGTGGATAGAGAGAAATACCGTTAACTGATGGTACATGGAGGGGATTATAATCAATGTAATGAAATAAGGTATATGATTTGTTGAATGTAAAACTGATGTTATGCCCTGTAATCTTTCACTCAATCCACAATAAAAGACCTTAAAAAAAAAACCCAAAAAACTCAAGGTCAACTGTTTCATGGGATAAAGATGTGGTTTTCTGCTCCCATAAAGATTTACAACCTCAGAAACCCTATACAGAGTCGCTATGAGTCAGGACTGACACCATGGCACATTACCACCACCAAAATAAATAGAGTGACTACCCCAACCCCTCATTATATAGAAATGAAGAGTCAAAGAAACGAGCTTTTGCCTCTGCCCACATTTAGCTCCTTGGACTCCTGGTGTGGCGCTGTGGGCTAATGCGTCAGGCTGCAAAGTCATTTGAACTGCAAGGTCGGTGGTTCAAGCTCAACAGCTTCTCCTTGGAAACCCTACACAGGTTGCTGTGGGTCAGAATCGACTCAATGGCACTTAACAACAACAACAGTTTCTTAGATGGGCCCTGATATGGTGTTATAGGATAAGCACTGGACTGCTAACTGCAAGGTTGGCAGTTCAAATCCACCAGCTGATTTCAGAAACCTAACTAGGTGGAATGCAACAGTTTCTGTGATAATTTGGTGGAGTAGATTTTTTATTAAGTGCCCTCAAGTTGGTTCCGACTCACAGCGACCCTGTATCAGGTTTCCAAGGAGCGACTGTTGATAGAACATAAGAAGTGAAAAATGCATCAATGTCCCCTTACCAAGGTCATACTGAGTCCATTCATTCTGAAAAAACAGATAAAGTGGTCAGAAATGGAAACATTGTCATCTGTCATACCAAATTAAAGCTAAATAGATCTGAAAACCTTTGAACAATAGTGCTTCTACATAGGGGAATAATGTTTGACTTTTCTGAAAGTTCTTGCTTATGACAAACTACACAGACTTAGGCATATGGTCTTCCTGATGTTTGCTGAATAGTGCAGCCCAAGCGTGGACTGAAAATTGTCAACTCAAAGTTAGAAAAATCAAGGTCATGTTACATAACATTATAAAAATTCACTGCAAGATGGGAAATGGTGTAGTTTATAAAATATGCTGCTTTTTAACTCACTCAACAGGGTAGATATTGAAAAAAAGTTGATATATAAGACATCACAATGTATAGGGAAGAAAGAAACACACTTGTTTAAATTATTATAGCTTGATTTCTCCCAAGTAGAATTTATATTTCCCTTAAAAAGAAAAAAAAAGAGACATTTCCCCAGCTAATTAACAGAAGGTAGAATTTCATACATATTGCAACTAATTCTCCATTGTTGTTGTTGTTAAGTGCCGTTGAGTTGGTTCCGACACATAGTGACTCTGTGCAAGATATCCGAGGAACATCTGAAGAGTTGGAATCGCCAAACTTGCAGTTCAAACTGACTTTATAATTCAGCGCATTAACCCACAGGGCCACACCCAGACTCCTAATTCTTCATTGGCAAATACTATTTAGTTCATTCATTCAATGTTACCTGTTGAGAAAATCATAGCGTAAGAGGTACAATTTTTTTAAATAGCTATTTTCCTTAGAGAAGAGCATTAGTCAGTTTAATCAATTAAAAAATACACTAGTATTTACTTGATATTAATAAGGCAAAGGGGGGAAAAAAAAGACACATCTTTTCTGTAATATAAGCAGCAGTTGTGGTGGTGGTGGCGGCGGTGGTGTGCCATGGAGTCAGTTCCCACTCATAGCAACCCTGCATGGGCATTTCTGAGGCTGTAAATCTTTACAGGAGCAAAAAGCCTCATCTTTCTCCCACGGAATAACTGGTAGTTTCAAACTGTTGACCTTGAGGTTAGCAGCCCAACTCCCAACTCGTAACCACTAAGCTACCAGAGAGTGATCTATTTAATGACCAAAAGCTTGCCACTCAGGTCAGAACATGAACAATGTGAAATAAAGTCTGTCTTTCCTAAACCCATTGCTATTTAGTTGATTCTGACTCATAACCCTATAGGACAGAGTAGAACTGCTCCACGGGTTTTCTAAGCTGTAAATCTTTTTCATGCAGAGCAGCTGGTGGGCTCTGTCGATTTTTCAGTTAGCTGTCCAAAGCTGAACCCACTGAGCCACCGAAGTGCATCTAAAATCTTTCCTTATTGTTGTTAAGTGCCATTGAGTCGGTTCTGACTCATAGCAACCCTTATAAGGTTTCTGAGGAATGGTTGGTGGGTTTGAACTGTCGACCTTGCAGTTCAAACTGACCTTGTGGTTCAATGCTTATCCTACAATGCCACATCAGGACTGACCCCTAATAACCTAAAGGGAACTAAAATTACCACATCAGTAGTCCCTTGGGTAACTCAAGTGAGAGGGTTCTTGGAAGAACTTACCTGAGTGGAAGTTCAGGTATCTTCCTCAAAAAATGAGGAGACAATAGGAAGCCACCTGACGCAAGGTTTCCAACATCTGCTGACAAGCACATGTGTCTTTTTCTTTTCCAGCAATCTCATCCAAAGATACACTCAAAGCCAGGGCAATTTTTCTTAGCACATTAATAATATGATGCAAAACAATCAATTTTGCTGTGATAAATCATTGGGCTTATTCCTTCCAAGAAGCATTACAAGATAGTCATCTTAAAGACTTCTCTCCAATTGGCAAAAGCAAGTGTGTGTATTTGTGTGTGTGTGGGACCGTAGAATAATTGATGCCTTTGAGTTATGGTGGTGAAGAATATTGAAAATGTCATGGGCTGCCAAAAGAACCAACAGATCCGTTTTGGAAGAAGTGCAGCCAGAGTGCTCCTTGGAGGTCAGGATGGCCAAATCTAGTCTCTGAACTTAGGACAAATTGTCAGGAGGGACCCGTCACTGGAGAAGGAATCATGCTTAGTAAGGTAGAGGGTCAGAGAAAAAGAGGAAGACCCCCAATGAGATGGATTGGCCAAGTGATGCACTCAAGCGTGACACCAGTACGAGGTTGGCCCAGGATCGGGCAGTTTCGTTCTGCTGTGCATAATGTCGCTATGGGTCAGTACTGACTCGATGGCACCTAACAACGATGTGTGCACACGTAAGTTTCTATGTGTAAGCGTGGTTCCAAAGTGGACTTTGCTAAAAAAAAAAAAAAGTCCCGTCCAATAAATTCCAACTAATGTGTGTGTCAGAGTACAACTGTGCTCCATAGGGTTTTTAATGGATGATATTTCAGAAGTAGATCATGAGGTCTTTCTTCCAAGGCACCTGAAAACAATGCACAAATGATTAGGGGGAGTCTTAAAAAAAAAAAAAAAAAAATTAACCCAGGCAGCATGCTGTTTCTTTACATCTCTGACATTCAGGAAAAATTAGCCATATACATTAGCCTCACATTTTCTCTCAAACAATTCTGTTAATTTCCAGGGTACTTTGATCTTTAAAATAAAATCCCTAGTACTGATTGGCCCCACCTACTCTGAAACCCACCTTTACTTGGAGCTTTGAGTTTTCCATTTCAAAAGGAGGGAATGGTAAAAGGCAGAGAAAAATCTACTCTTGAAATGTGGGAAACCCTGCTCAGTTGTTGTTGTTAGGTGCCATCAAGTTGGAACTGACCCATAGCGACCTTATGCACAGCAGAACTAAACACTACCCGATCCTGGGCCAACCTCACTACTTTTTGCCACGCTTGAGTCCATTGATGCTGCCACTTGCCCAATCCATCTCACAGGGAGTCTCCCTCTTTTTCTCTGACCCTCCACTTTACCACACATGATATCCTTCTCCAGTTACTGGTCCCTCCTGAAAATATGTCCAAAGTATGAGAGATGAAGTTTGGCCATCTTGGCCTCTAAGGAACACTGCTCAGTTACAGATGATAAATTCCAACACCTGAAAAACTCAGCCATTAGTATTGTAGAAATTATTGTCACTTCAGTCACGAGGCATTTTTATTGTACTTGAAGCAGAAGTGGTTTTAACCAATTTTACAAAATCAGAAGGAACACTAGTAATTCCATGATTTGTTTTGATCTTAGACCCACTCTCAAAACAATGTCTGGCTTTAGGAGCCCTAGCAAATTTCAGGAATTAAAAAAAAGAATAAAGGTTTTTCAAATTACTAGAGCCCAAGGGTCTTTGAATTTTTTCTTGAATATAACCAGAAATTTGTTAAGTGTTCTCCTCTTGATTTAGAGGGAGCAGAGAGCCAAGGCTAAGAGAATCTTTGAAGCTAAGTTCTCATCACACTTGTAATGGGATTTTCTCTGAAAACACAGGACTTAAAATACTGCAAATGTTGCCAATTATGTATATATATATTTTTTGCAGTTAGGAAACATTTCCAATTTTTATTCATAATATTGGTAATCAAAGTTGCAAAGGAAGTTTTACAGAGCCATGTATCAATAACAGAATAAGATGGAGATGAAATATTCCAAAGTCATCTGGAAGAGTTTACAAGGAACACACACTAGGCTAGAAATCTAGGGTTAAACTGTAGTTTCATAACAGATTATATTCATTCTTGCATTTTCTCAATAAGTTCTTCCTTATATTTGCCTTTCTCTTTTCCAACTTGTCGCAATTTGGCTTTGTGTTCAAGAATTTTTTTCCCATCTTTGTCCAGTTTGAGACTTGTGATAATCACCTTGCTTGGGCGAATGCCCACCTGGACAATTGTACCATTAGCCTTCTCACGCTGCACTCTTTTGATGTAGATGACAAACTTCTTTCTGTACACCTGGACTACCCCACCTGGACCTCGTCGTCCTTGAGGATGGGCATGGAGTGCACGTTATACTTCAGCAGCAGCTCCTTGGACAGCGGGGACGACATGATCTTCCTGCGCACGTGCAAGAGAGCACTAAAGTGGCGTTTGCAGTTCTTACTGCGATCCAGGGTCACGAAGGGGTTAAACTTCATGGTGACATTCCAGCATCCGCAGCCTCAGAAGCTCCGCACACAAACGCCAATTATATTTGAGATGCCAATCCAAAGCATAGTTAAGACAATTCATAGTTGACTTTCAAGTGACTGCTATGTGAATATGTTTATTACTTCCCTAGTTTACAGCAAATTTTAACACAATGGCCAATGTGTAGTAAAATTTAAGAGATTTCTGCAGGCATGTGTTAATGATGTTGTTTAAATGCTGCCAGTCAGTTTCAACTCTTAGGGATCCTTTATAGGGTTTCCAAGGAACGGCTGGAAGGTTAGAACTGCCCCTACAGTGCTCCTTTAGTGAAATAGGATATGCTATTCTCTGGAGGAATCAAATCAGATAGCATAAACCAGTTCTTCAGTAAAATGTATGGTTGTTAAGTGCATCAAGTAGACTCCGACTTACAGTCATATAGGTTTGCCAAGGAACAGCTGGTGGGTTTGAACTACCAACCTTGAAGTTAGCAGTCCAGTGCTTATCCTTCAGCACCACACTAGGACTCCTAGGCCCACAAAAAAAGAGACACACATCACCTGCAAGAATCTAAGTATATGGAAGTAGCCTGGTATGCCAGTTAAAATATTTTAATGAATTAAATCATATGCAAACTCGCTAAAACTACAGAGATTTGTTGACTCATATTACTCAAAAGTCTGGTGAGATGAAAGGCATCAGACTTGGGAGTGGGAAGGTGTGGTCTGGTGTTCAGGTTTTTATTCAAGGCCAGCATAGGGCTGGCTTAAGACATGGAGGTGTGATTGTTGTCCATAGTGATAGATGCCAAATGCTTCCTCTTTCATTTACAGGAGAGTATATGCTTCTGCCCCAGCATTCCAAGATCAAACTGTGGGCATCTCCCTAGCTGGAGTGATTTAAATTGCATGCTCAATCCCTATTTAATGACTGTGGCTAGAAAGAAATGGTTTATGGTGTTTGGCTTACACTAATTAAAATGCTATCGAGCTGGGGAGCTGGGGATGGATCATTTCCAGAGAAAGCCATAAACTATGTGGAATATAGGTGGATACTACTAGGAAAATATGGAGAAAGGGAAGAATACATATTGGCCATCTAGCCTTCAAGGCAATAGCAGGCCCTGGGCAGTTTCTACTAAAAATGATTGTTAACATTGCTAATTAAAAAAATAAAAACAGTTTCCAGGCTACCAACTAGTAACAGCAATAACAAAATTCCAATGGCAGTATGTTTTTTTTTTTTATTATTTTTTTGGGTTTGACTTAAGATGGTTGAATGAATTCATTTTCATTTATAAGCATTACATCAATTTCCATGCAAAAACCCAAGATCACATATGCCTGATTTCGAGCCAGCCAAAATCCAACCTAGGAGTCTTGACATTCAAGATCAAAACCAAAATGTTGCTGGCCTTTCCAAAAGTAGACCTCATTGGCATCCAATGAGAGATCAGCAGACCTCCTGTCCTCTCAAACACCAATGCCTTGTGGCACCTACACTTGAAAATTTCATTCATGAAGACAGGATACCTCTACACCAAGCCTGCACCTATGGTGATTCTCTGGTTCCTGCTCTCTAGCAAAACCTGCTTCTTAAACAGGCATGCCATCTTCAATTTGGGGATTATAATTCTTCCTGACAGTGTTCCTCAAAATTCAGCAAAGGTAAGGAGACTTTACAAAAAAAAAAAAAAAAAGCTTACCTCTATAAAGGTAAGAAAGAAAGAAATACAAAGACACCAATTTTATCAAGTAGATATTGTCCCCAGCTTTAGGTAAAGTCATTCAGCAGGTATAAAGCTTTTAAAACATCTCTCACGCAGTTTAAGACAAGGAAACAGAAAATCAAAAGGGGAAACACAAGACCCCACAATGAAACGAAATCAATACAAAGAACCATTCTTTTGATTGAGTAAAATGGGTTAAATGAAAAAATTCTAAAAATAAAAAAATAAAAAGCATATCAACAGTGGATACTAATTTATACTGAAACATACACATTCGAACTTGGACAATGGCAAAAATTTCATTAGTGCAAATAACAATTATAATGGTATGCTCTTCAATAGGATTTAAATAAGGCTTCAAATAATTATACATGCTAAAACTAACATTTGGAAACCTTCATTCAGGTTGGAAAGCTGTCACGCACACACCCTCCAAAACCATCCAAGGTTCTGATTCGAGGACAATTACATTCAATGACGTTGCTCCAAAACACAATTTGTAGCATTATCACACTCAAAGTCTACAATGTTTGGTGAAAAAAAGGTGGAAACTACCCTGGCCACTGTTCAAAAGAAATAAATCCAGCTAACATGCCAGGTGATTCCCAGATTAAGACAGTTCTCTCAAATATCTATAATGACGGAAGTTCACTTAAAAAGAAAAGGGGAAAATAAAAACAAAGAATAAAATACTTAAATGTCAGAAAGAGATTTGTTTCCCTAACCCCATTAGCAAATTTGCACAAAGTATAAAACAGAAAAATACACAACGATTCATGGGCATTTTTTTTTCCTATGGCTCAAGTTCTCCTAAAATTAAGAGAGAGAGAGAGAGAGAAAAAAAGGTGAAAATAACTACAAAAAGGCAAACAACAACAGAAATAAGAGGCAGAATATGAAATAGTAATATACTGTTTCAGAGCCTGCACCATCCTGCAGAACCAGGAAACTTAAAATGTGTTCTTAACAGATCCAATCTAGGCTGGATATGTAAAAAACGAACGACAGCAATCACAAACCACACTACACATCATGAGAGTTTTAGAACTAAGAAAGAAGGGGAAAAAAAAAAAAAAAAGTCAGTAAAACACTCAGAAAAATTTATCATCAATTCTAAAATGGGGCCTTGTAACATCATCCGGGTTAATAAAGACAGAGATGGACTTCCCCGGGTTCTCAGTCACTAGCTGCTGCAGTTTTTTGGCCAAGCGATCATCAGGCTGGCTGGGGTCCCCTCCATCAGACTGTGGGGAGGGAATGCTGGTGGTGCTGCTCCTCCGCTGCAGCTCTAGCGTCAGTCGGTTGGCGGCCTTGACGTGCTCGATGGCGGTGCGCAAGTGCTCTGCTGGGTCTGAGCGGACCGAGGAGAGCTTCCGGGCGTGCAGCATGACCGTCTCCTCGGACAGGTGCTCCAGCATGTTGCACTGAGGGATGAAATAATTAGGACACATCTTGTTAACGAGACAGTGTTGCAGGTCATCGATGAGGCCCAGCAAAAAGTGAGCTGCATAGTCTTCTTGAGCCAAGTAGTTGGCAGGAAGTCTGTCGCAGGCCCAGAGCATCATGCTCCGCAGGTGATAGGGACTAATAGCCTTAGGTCTGGACAGCAGTTTGATGATGATGGCTTTACAGGCCTGATAGGCCTGCATGAGGCTGCTAGAGATGCACTTTTTCAACTGCACCTCGCTCCTGGCAAAGGACAGCCGCCACTCATTGTCCTTTTTACCCTTGTAGGAGCAAGCAGGTACCAAGTAAAACCCACTGATGACCTCTTCCTCAGTGATCTTCCCATCCCAAAAGTGATTCTCCATGAGCCAGCTCTGGGCAACTGCAGGCCAACCTTTGAAGGAGACCACAGGGACGATGTCATACAACATGCGACTGCTGCCCACACCCAGAATGATGGAGATGATGGTCCCGTTCTTTTCTACTTTTTCCACCTTTGGCATCCCTCGCTGGGGCTTCTTTTGTATCTCGGATAAGACAATGCTGATGGAGTCATAGAACCAGTCAGCCACTTTGGTAGGTGAGAAGAAGTAGTTGGTAGCACCATTGATGTGGTCGACGATGGTGCAGCAGTCTTTCCACTTACTGATCGTCCCTTCATCAAAGAGCCGGAGACTCAGCCAAGAGTGGCACAAGGCTGAGTGGCGCATATCGAGAGTCACAGGCTGATTACGGTCATGCAGTTTAAGGGCTGGCACCAGAAGAGTAAAGTCCATATCGTAATCGGTCCCCCGGGCATAGACATTCAGCTCATCCAAGTCCAGGTCTACCACACCTTCCCGAACTCCTCCAGAAAGCAACAGGTACTCATTGGCCACTGGAAGTTTTTGGTCCAATTTTTGTACCATTCCTGGAAACACAAAGAGAAAACACTATTATATAAAGCATGCACACAACAGCTTTATGTATCAATACATAACATGCTGAACATTTAAGAGGCACTATTCAATCAACCTGGACATCAGTGCAAAACCAGGTCTCAGGCTATTGCAGAGACGTGCCAACCAGGACTTGGGTCTTCCTCCTCAGTGCCTGGAAGAATGTAGCGTTCTGTAAGTAGAGGACTAGGAGAGATGTTTCTCACATCATGAAAAGCCATGATCATTTTCAATCAGAAACTTGGACGCCTCCCCCCATAGTCATCACGCAAGTGATAACATTGCATCCGCTCAGTCACCCAGGCTGAAAACCCAAGTTTCAACTTTTTCTTGTCCAGCTATTGCCAAATCAGATCATTATCATCTCTGCATCTTCTCTCACTTCCCTCCTCATTCTGCATCTCCAAGGCCATCGTATGTTTTCAAGTTCTTTTGACTTTTGCTCATATAGTCTCCCCCACTCCTGGCTCTCCCTGCTTAAACCTCCCTCTTTATCATCAGTTCACAAAGTAGGGCCTGAATACCACTGAGGGATTCCAGGACGCTTACAAGAAGCTATGAGGTCACAACACTTTCATAATACTAAGGCTTTTT